CCGGCTTCTCGCGCAGCCGGCTTTCCCTGGGCCGCCCAATAAGCCACTCGGGGCTTCGGCGCCACCTCAACGGCTGGGACTCGAGTTTGTAAGAACCCGGCCCTGGACCGCCATGCCGCGGAGGCGGCGGGAACCTCCCCGAGAAAAAGCCATGCCACAAAAAAAACACACACAGACAGTATCAAGTGGTGACAGCTAAACTGATCACGAAGCTCTACCCACCTTCTTGAGCCCTTAAGCATGCCATCAATACTTCATGTCACCCTCAGGCACTCTTCGGACACAAAGATATTTGAATAACTTTGCAAGTACGAACGGTTTCACTGCCCTACGAGAATCAAGATTGAAACTCAAGCGAAGCCTGGAAAGTAGCTTTCGTGACATTTGAATGCGTGAGTAGCCTCGCAGGAATACGGCAGCAAGCATCAGTCTGTAGCTGTCATGTTTTCGTCGCTGCATCTCTTGCTTCTTGGTCTCTGTCAGCATATCAACAATGGGCGCATCCCGTCGCATATCTTTAGTCTGTTAAGGTTCTCCACTCTTTTTTAACCAGGTCGTGTTTGATCATTTGTGAAGCAGCAGTAGCAGCAGGACCACTAGAGTCACTAGAGGCAGCTGGCACACAGACACCCTGCCACACGGTTGCCCATAGCTTGTTGTTGGTGTTGATGTTGGTATTGATGTTGCTGTTGCGCTCATAATCATCCTCGTCAAGGCCAAGGTATCAGGTTGTCTGTCTGGTGCTTAGTAGGGAATGGGGGAATGGATCCCTATGATAGTCCCTTAAGGTCCCTTATAGTCCCTATAACCTCCCCCATTCCCTACTAAGCACCAGACAGCTGCTGGCTATGGGAATCTCAGGCTGAGGCCGGCGACCCGGGTATACAGGACGCACGAGGAAGCAGAGCCCTGGTGCACGTGGTACCTTCGCCATTTACTTCAAGCTGCCCATCTCTCACTGCCCGTCTCGACACTGTTCAAGAATTCTCGTGACCCTGAAATCCTCCTTCACTCGCAGGTCTCTTGAAGGGGGCTCGTCAGCCACCCCCTGCTCTCCCAGGGGCACCCATGGCGCCCGCCGTTTCCAGGATACACGGCGGCCCACAGCCTGCGGCGACAGCGGAAGCCCACAAACTTTTCGGAGCTCCTTCGGCTTAGTGCAGCTTTGGGACACGAGACCATAGCCTTGATCCTGAGATTTCGCGCAGGTCGGGACTGACAGTTCCCAGGAAATGCTTGAGGCAGTCAAAGAAACTCCCTGGGGCAGGGTGATCCCCGTCTTGTTCAGAAAGCCCAGCAGAGCGCCCTTCATGACCTGCAGGCAGTGCTGCGCTTGCTGTCGCTTCGTAATTTCATGCGCCAGCAGGCAGGGATTCACTCGAGAACCTTCATGGAGCTGAGCTCCGCGCACGAGTCAGGATCTTGAAGTCCTCGGAATCTCTGTACATTTCCTTGGATGCGCCAAAGCCCCCACCACCCTCTCTTGTCGTGACGGCGTTGGCTGCAATGAGCCCACGTGACGACCCCGAGAGACAGTCTCAGTGCTCAAACTTGAGGTCTCAAGAGATTGCGTCAGGCAGCACCCAGTCCGGCCATGAACTCTACCCTCCAAAAGAACCGGGCGAGTCACGGGCCATTTCTTCTCGTCAGACCTCGAGATGCGGTCCGCATGGGTCGCCTGGAAGCTGAAGAACCTGGGCTACTTGCTCCTCGAGCCTTCTTGGATGGATTTGAGGCTAACAAGTATATGTAAAGGAAACTGCTGCAGCGTTGTAACATGATGCATCATTTGCCTGAGAATGGTGACAACAGCACACATAATCAAAAAGAAAGCGGGCGTCGGCAGGCCACGTTCCTTCGTTACAAGGCAGCTCATGCAGACGGGGCACTTGTCGTTAAGGTCGTTGGGATCTATGTCGGTGTACTTCTTGCCAAACCTAAGGGCTTCCACAAAAAACATGCCCGGGCCGTCAGATATGGCTCAGATAATATGCATCCATTGATAAACCGGCGGGACATCAACCGAATTCCTGAAGATGGGTGCTTGTGGGCTTGGGTCGAGCCACTGCTCGTACTTTCGAACTGCGAGGTCGGCGAGGCGTGTGGTGAAGCCCTCTGGCAGCCACGAGCGCACATTCCTCGAGAGGGGGAGGAGGATGCGCTGAACCGTACAGAAAACAGCATCGCCCACCCTCCAAGACCCTCAAGGCTTAGACCTGAACTCTGACACAAATTAACCCGAAATCAGGTCCACATGCAGCGTGTGCACACTCTCTCTTGTTACGTGATGGTATGATGGCTTGATGACTTGCTGGTATGGCCATTAAAAAGGCAACGCCGTTCTCTTGCTCGCTTGTTGGCTTGCTTGCCTGCGCTAGTGTGCTGGTCTGCTTGCTCGCTGGCTCTCTCGCTCTTGCATCCATCTCATTCCATGTAACGGTTGGTTATAAGGGGCACATTGAGAAACCATGTTGCTGGCAGGCCACACGGACAGGATCTTGGTGGGAAACGCATTCCTCACCTGCGCAGCCGAGGCAAAGTCTGCCGAGGCACCGGTCTCTTCGCAGGAACTCTCCGCTTTAGAACTCGAAGGGCTACTCACTCCTTCTTCAAGCTCTTATCTGTGCACGCCTGAAAGCTGTCAACGATCTTTGCGACATCCTTCGGGTGAGCACCTCGTATTTTACGGAAAAGCAATTGCTTGGCACATTTAATTTGCATGACGCTACTCGGAAGGTGCTTTTCCCCAAGCCGCAAGCTTGGTCGCGCAGCACCGAACCCACCCCACAACCCTGAAGCCTACCCTGCGACCCTGCAGCTATGCCGCTATCCCCACCCACCACCCGACTCCTGAACCTTGAATCCGCCGAGGCCAGAGTTGATGTTGTTCAATCGCACCATGTCATGGTCTGCCCGGCCCCCCCTTGCACCCCCTCCCGATCAAGTCTCTATACCGATGCTAGACCTTCGCTTCCTCATAGCCAGATCATGCCGTGAGAGGCGCTAGCCATTTGCCCGTACTCCCGCGTAGGAAAGCAGATCCCGTCTTTCAGCGTGGAGAGGAAATCCGGGTGCCGAACCTCGGGCGTGGCCAAGAGCGACCGAATTTCGATGCTTCTCGAAAAAGCACCATGAAATCTATCTCGATGTAGCGGATGCAAACTGTAATGGTGAGACGATGACGGTGGTAGTGATTATGACGATGTTGCTGTTGTTGATGATGATGGTGATGAGGAGGAGCAGGAGGAGGAGGCCGATAACGATGATGGCTGCCCATGATGCTGACGAGGTGGTGGTGGTGGTGGTGGTGGTGGTGGTGGTGGTGGTGGTGGTGGTGGTGGGGGTGGGGGTGGCGGTGGCGGTGGCGGTGGCGGTGGCGGTGGCGGTGGCGGTGGCGGTGGTGGTGCCGACGACGACGATGATGCGACTGATGCTAACGATGATGGTGCTAATAATGATGATGCTGATAGTGATGGTGCTGATCAACATAAGCACCACCAACACGACTGCATCGTATCATCATCATCATCATCATCATCAGCAGCAGCAGCAGCTGCAGCAGCAGCTGCTGCTGCTGCTGCTGCTGCTTCTTGTTCTTCTTCACCGTCCGTCCCTCCTCGTCCTCTCGTCGCCATCCTTGTCCCAATCGTCATCCCCATCCTAATCCTCATCTTGATCCCATGAGCACTTTATCCTTCTCGTCATGCCCGTCCTGATGCTTATCTTGATCCTCATGGTCATCTTTATCCTTGTCGTCGTCCTTGCGTCGCTGTCGTCGTTCTTCCTTTTTTGAGATTGATATCAGGATGGGTGCACCGGGCAACACTACCACTAAGCTTGTAATTGTCTGGAATGCTGCCTTTAAAGCGTTTCAACTGCGGCGGTTATCCCACAAAAGTATCGTTTCTCCAACTTCTGACCTCAGTCGATCGCGAGCCACAGCGTCTTTACTTGACCTTTGAACCGCTTGCAACCAACCACTGCATCATGAGCCCTCTCGCTACGACTGGGAAGAGACGAGAAGAGCACATCTGCCTTATACTATAATATACTAAAACGATAATTACTATACTATAATATACTATACTATACCATACCATATTATAATATGCTATAATATACTGTAACATACTATACTATACTATGCGTATAATATACTACAATGTTCTGTAATATACTACAGTATTATATCCTAGAACCAAGAAGGAGTGTGCAAAAAGAAAACGCTCGGCCTCCGGCGGGCACAGATCCAGACTCGCCCCACGCCTCCATCTGCTCTCGCACGATCTTCCTTTGACGGCTCCGACATGATTCCAAGTTACCCACTATGGATTTTTTTTGAGGGCCCTTTTGATGTCCGCTCTGCAGCGTCTCTCAAGCCCTTTCGGGCAGGCTGGGTCGGCCACCCTTTGGCCTAGAAAACATATAGTGGGTTTAGGGTTTAGGGTTGAGGGTCCTCCTCCCACACTAGGAGTAGAGACCACACTGTATCTGACACAATGTTTGCCAAGCATGCGATGCTTCTACTGCGTGGTGTCCGCAGCTGCGTCGTCGGCCAATGCCCACAACCGCTTCAATTGCTCGCAGAACCACAACACCTCCCTGAGACAGAAAAAATGGAACTTCCTTAGGTCCATTCCTATTTGTGGTCGTGAACCACAAGATTCCTTCGCCATGGAAAGAACGGCACGGAAGTGTCGCGAGATAACATACCTAGCACGCCTCCGAGTTTGGCCAAATGTTTCCGAGAAAGGATTTCTGGTCAGTCATGGTCAGTCTATGCCAGCGCAAGCAGCTACATGTAGCCCGGGGATCCGCACGACCTGCTCGTCCTGAGTGATTTTTGACGACTTGCCCGACCTGAGTAGGATTTGTGGAGCAGGATTTTCAACACGGGATGGACAGGGACAACAAGACTCTCTCATTTCCTCGGATCTAAATTGCTGATACTTGAGCCCCGATGGGCTGCTTTCACGATCTTACAAGCCAGGTCGCTCTTTCTTGTCCAGCCAAGCCAAAGCCTCTTTGAGCTTCGGCGGGTCCAGCGTGCAGGCGTGCGCAAACATATCGACGGCATGCTGCGCCTGGCCTGGCAAGGGCGGAAAGCTTCACAGCTGTCAAGAGGCCCGCATTGTTACACTGAGCCCTTCCCTAAGTCCACCTTCGGCATCGGTCAGGGACGCCAAGGCGACGGCTACTTTGGCCGCCTCGAACCTGGCTTGTTGCTGAAATGTTCATACCTGCCAAGCACGACGCCCCGACCAAGAACCCAGAGCCCGGGAAGCCAAAGCAGACCCAAAAGACGACCCAAAGAAACGTGCTCGCTCTGTCTCTCCCTTTGCCCGCCAAGGTGCCAAATCTCTGCCGAGCCGGGAGCCAGGTCCAGGGCCCCAAGGAGCTGGCAGCGATTGAATTTCTTTTGAGCTTCCAAGACCCACCCACCACCAGCAGAGCATCACCACCGCTACGACTCCTCCTCCGCCCGCTGCTGCTGCTCCTCCTCCTACTCCTCCTCCTCCTCCTCCTCCGCGGCTGCTACTACTGCTACTGCTACTGCTACTGCTGCTGCCACTGCTACTGCTACGACGACGATGGCGACGACGACGATCAAGATGATTACTGCCGTCACCTCCAAACACTTTCAGATGAAAATGGAAACCTACGGCCTGCAGCTGCCCTTCATGCTGCTTGATGAAGGGGTCGCGGTTCGACTTGTCAATGCCTTGGGCTTGCTTCAGGCCCTGGCGCAGGAGCAGAAGCCATTGAGATATATATATATATATATAT